CCTCCCTCCCTCCCTCCCTCTCTCCCTGTCTACCTGCTTTCCTTTCTTTCTTAAGAATGGATTGTGGAAAATGAGCAGTTCCCTGTAAATGTCTATTTTTGGAAACCCTGCCTTTCCAGGAACTCACTCACTAACGACAACACAGTGCTGCTCACACTGCTTCTAGCATCAATGAGGAGGATCAGTCAGGAAACACAAAGGGATTAGAGGCAGTGAATGTCCACATTTTTTTATTGCTCACCACTTGCAGGTTCTAATAACAACCCTTTATTTCCAAGTTTGCGCTGGAAGGAATTTCTCAATCAAATCTTACAGTTTCTTCTGAGCCTTTTCCCCTTGGAAAACTAAAGACGTGGGTATGTTTAGCATTAAGCACACCAAAGTTGATGTATTCTGCTCAGGCCTAGCAGTATTGGCAATTCTTCCCACTTGATGTATGTCAGGTACCATATTGTTTGTTTTACATACATTATTGTATACATTATAATATATTACATTCCTTATGAATTATTGTTTTTACTCTTCAAAGAATTTAAAGCTCTCCAAAGACAAAATATCTGGTAAGCAGGGGAGATAGAGTTTATTTGTAACCTTTGCTTTGGACTTGGTTATCCAAAATCATTTGTTGTGTTTCTTTGTTCGCTGGAGAAATAACTAAAATGGATAGAGTGCATTTGTCTTGTCTGTGTGCCCAATCTTCTTCCTATCTTAATGTGAAATCTGCTCCCACATCTCCTGGGAAACACTCCCTTCACCAAATCCATCTTGCTAAATCGTAGCTGCTTTCTTCTTATGGACCCCTCAGCTTATCTATCTGTTCACACAGGATGGACCCAAGGATGGTCACACTTACCCAAGTAAGGATGGTCCTTGGGACGCCTTTCATCTGTCTGATAATGTTGTCTGTGAGTGGGCATGTGAGAAAATAGTAATAATAATAATAATAATAATAATAATAATAATAACAATAAAATACTTTACTGTTTATGTGCTAAGCATTGTACATCCTAAAATTCTCTTATTATCACAAAATTTCTTCAGTATAGGTAATGTTCTATCTCCATTGTACAGAAGTGGACACAGAGGAAGCATTTTGCCAAGGGCACAAAACCAGAAGTAGCGAAACCGAAACTTAGTTTTTATCCCTGAACTAGTGTCACAAAAATTCTGAGTTAAGCACCCATGGCTCCCAACGAAAGTCACTCGTTCTTCCCACGAGGTGGGAGGGGTGCTAGGCAAGCGGCAGCTGGGGTCAGGTCTATGGTTCTCGGCCAGGCTTAGTTATACAGCCAAGTCAGCAGGGGTCAGCAGGTATCACTGGAACCCTTCCTGGTCCCTAAGGGTTGGCTCAGCCATGCCTTTCACAGGGAATGTTCAAAAAGCAACAGCCCAGGCAGAAGCAAGAAGAGGCCTCCCAAAGCTGAGCTTCTGACCAGCAAACGGCTATTTCCACCTCATGTAAGCTTAAGGGAAAGAAATGCATCTGCCCTGTCTTTTGTGAAGAGAACTTCACGGTCAAAATCGAAGAATCAAGAGTCAGAGAGAAATGAAAGGGGGCCCTGTTACCACCATTCCTCCCAGGAAGTTTCCATCTTAGGACAGAGTTTTCAGTTCCCTGTCAGCGGCTAACATTCTGCAGCATGAAGCTCCCCGCTTGTCAGCATTCCCCTTCCCAGAGAGAGGCAGAACCAGTCTCCAGTGAGCTAGGGAGAGGATGCAGTGACAGAGGACTGGCAGGAAAGTGCAGGGATGCCCTTGACCTTCGTGGCAACTGTCCTCAAACCTCTGTTAGAGCCCTGCCAGTTGGTTATTCAAGTCTGCTCAGGAAGTCTTCACCCCCAATTTTTCATATTATTTTGATGTGTTGTCAAATGTGACCTAAAAAGTCCTGAGCAGCACACCACCATGTAATTAATAAACTAAATAAATACACTGCAGTGACTCATGCTCATACCTGCAAGACCCAACATATGTTTTAGGTAGCCACGATTCATGATTATATTAGACACTGAACTTTTTTTTGAAGCCTACAAACACGAGGTTGGGGAGATGCTTAGTCCTGAGAATGTCTGCTGTGCGAACAGGAGGACCTGAGTTCTGTCAATTAAAATCTAGGTGAGGTGGGGCTCAGGTGTGCTTCCTAGCTCTCGGGAGGTGAGGGCCGGCTTGATTCCTGGAGCTTGTAGCCAACCATCCCAGCTTAACAGCTGAGCTGGATCAAATGAGAGACACTGCCTCGAGAAAACAATGTGATTGGCTCACGAGGACCCAAACTGGGGGGTGGAACTCTAGCCTCCACACCCATGCACAGACATATGTACCCATATGGGCAGGCACACCCCCATGCCTACACGAAGACACAATAGACCTGCAACTTGTGCTACCACCACAAAGGGAAGACACTGAGAATGGGGAGATGAAACTCAGATTTGGGCAGAAACAGGAGTATCTCACAAGGAAACTGAAGTAGGCTGTCAAGTTCCAGGAGAAATGGAGAATTTTTACAATTAGAAAAGCTGAAAACCTAGCAGGTGTCAGTGGCCGGGTATGGGGCAACAGGCAAGGTCACAGAGATACGAACTAACACGGCATCCAGGGAAGGGAGCAGCACTTTTTGATGACTGACAAGCACTCAAGCTAAAAGGAGAAAAGAATTCTTCTGTTTCTGTGAATTTTGCAAGGGAACAGGACCTTGTTTAGCTGGCAAAAATTGTTCTGCCCTACTTAGCTATCATGTCCCCGAAGTGCCATGGATTGTCAAAAGAGCCCCCTTGAGATTGTCCCGCTCCTTTTATCCTGACACGGCACTTGTGTACCAACCTTTCATCATCATTTGGTTTTGCACACAGGTTGTCCTGCGGGGGGGGGGGGGGGAGGGATGAGATAACCAGCCTACAGTCAAAATCCATTTTGCTTGGCAGTTATTTTGTTGCATAAATTAAAAGAATTGACAGCCTAGTTTATAAAACAAACTCTTGAGAGCCCAGTCTATTAGCAGGGTTCTTTATTTTACATGAACTCAGCATAGGCTAAATCGGTTTCTTGGAAAATGACAGCATTGGCTCAGAAAGGGCGGATGTCAGGCATGGAGCTGCTTCGGGGCTCACAGGAGGTGGAATCTGACTCAGTGTTCGGCCTGCATTGCCTAGGTGCTCCCCACGTGTGTGAAAATGCACAGAACTCACAAGTTACAGGAGGAAAGAAACTGCTTTGCAAATTCCAGCAGCGAAAATCCTAAAGGTAAGATGGCCCATGTTATTTAGATTGTACACTCATGCACAAAGAAGGCCAAATGGGCCGAATACAGAGGTTGGTCCATTGTAGGATCAGGTGGTTTATGAAGACTTGTCCCTTGTGGGATCACATGGTTGAGAATCCCTTTCCAAAACAAGATCAAGGACAAGTCAAAATCTCTATCTTTGTTAGTGACTAACCACACTCAGCACAAACCAATAGTGCTTAACGCTTGATGGGTCCAAGAATACCAGATGACACAGAATCTGAACCCAAATAGACAGGCCCATTTCCACACTTCACACCCAGGTGGAGCCACACTCCTTCCAAAGAACAATTTTTCCTCATTTTTGTTGATGTATTCTTTGAAGTCTATTTTATTAGATATTAGGATAGCTACACC